TGTGTAAAACCCGCTGTAAAGTGGAGGTAAAGTGAATTTGCGTGGTTTTACCAACATTGTAAACCAAACTTAGAACTTGCGATATTGGTGCAGATGACTATGGTCGAACATCGATAAAAATGCGCACAAGTAAAGAATCTTGCAGTCGTAGTGATAAGTGTGACTTACGGTGGTTTTATGGTGACAATCATCGATATGTAACCAACTCATGTCATGTGACCCGAGTTCGAGCTTTAAAATTCAAGCATTGAAACCCACATGATAACCATTCCTTCTAACATCAGTACATCAACAAACAGCATTTTGCAACTTGTAGGTTATTTTTTGTTCTAAATATATATATTTTTCTTCTATTCCGTTAGCGGTGTCTAAACGGTGGAAGATATGGGACCAAATCGGTGTCATTGTCTTACTGGGTACTATGGTTATGCTTGCCAGTTGCTACTAGAAATGCAACGACCGGCGATAATAACAACAGGCAGGTTTATAATTCGGGGGAATATAGTTTATATTTAGTTATCTTTTTATTAAACAGTTTGTGTTTTTTATGCCTCTAATGTGTGTAAATGGCATCTGATAATAGTGACCCACGCCCCACTCGCACTAATTTTAAAACACGCCACCTCCGTCATTACAAAACACGCCATCTATGTCACTACTTTGTCACCAATTGAACAGAGAATACAATCATTCATTTAATACTTGCATACGAACTGTTTATTTCATTATATCCTTTTAGTAGCTGAATACAGTGCATAATACAAACACAGCATTTTGAGTGTGTGGGTGAGTGAGTGAGCGAGTCTGGTCGATAATTCAAACATGAGAAGTACGTTTTATATTTCTGATATGCTCAATCATAGAGAGGGTCTATGGTTCAATTGAGTAATTCGAGTCAAGCATGAGAGAACGTGTGAGAAACGTTCTCACGTTCAAGCGGTATCTACTTTTCGTTATTAGTTTTAATGACGAAAGAGCAGTGAAAATTTGCAGCGAGAATACTGTCAGTAGTAGGAAATAAACTAACCAAGCATTTGGTTCAAAGACAGCAAAAACCACTATCACCACGCCGCCAAATAACGAATACCCCCACATATGTTTGAAACTCCAAATGAACACGTTTTTGTTCATGAATTCTTCTATCACCCTTTGGGGACCCATTTGCTATATTTGCATATGTTAGCCTGGATTGCTTGAAGGAGTCTAACACAGCCGACCACGGCCTCTGGTGTGAACTGTAAAATTGAACACACGGTCTCCAGTAGAACTAAATGAATGTTACTAAAAGTTATTACAGCCAATTTCGTGAATACTATTATTAGAAACATGATAATGACGAACGGTAGATATGGATACTGCATATGAGAGTTGATGCTGATTAATACAATTACGTTATCGTTCGATTGAAACGCGACTCTCTATAAGGTTGCGATTTAAGTGGGGTTTAATTAATTTTAATTCAAATGAAAGTGCAACACAGTAGAAATAACATCATACATCCTTTGGCTGACTTAACGTAGAAATGTTTGCGAAGCTTAGGGTTAGTAAAGGGGTACAGTTAATATATCATACCTCCCCGTTTACTAACCCTAAGCTACGCAAACTTGACTTAAATTCGATTAAGTATAAATTATGAAAAATAATGAGGGTCGTCACTTGATGAACACAACTAGAATCGGAATTTGTGCTTCTATGTGGAAGAGAACTTACCGGTGAAGTGGTGACAAACCAATGTCTGTCTGTTTTAAATCGTGTTATCACATAGTGCCAATATGATCAGTTTGCATTATTCTCATGACACCCTTATTATTTATACATGCTTTTCTTGTTTATAGTAATAATTTTAAGAGATAAAGAGTTCCCAAATTAGCGCAATGTAACCTTTTGTGTCCCGTTACATTATCATTTCTGGCATGCACAGCTATAGTGATTCTGTTTCCGATGTGTAAAGCAAAGCGCTTGAGTATGGTGCTATAACTAAAATAATTAGTGGATTTCTCCCAGCTTATTAATTAAGTGACAGTGTATGTCACACCTCGTCGGTTTGTGACAAATCTAAACAGGTTGGATTAATATAGTCAAATTTAAATCATGTATTTGTTCACAGAAATTTCACAAATGATGTTGGGTTTATTCAACTTTTCTGGCATTTTTTTCCGCATTAATTAAACAGTATGCAAGGTGTCCATGTAATTCATCTAAAGTACAATGACCTGTTTGACCACTATAATATTCCTCGCGTATCTTTTACGTATCTAGCCAGGCCTCAGTGTCACATGTTGACTGTTGTGTAAAGTTTGAAGGTTGTACCTATTTGTCCCATGATTTCTATTGCGAACATACACGTACTTTGTTCTTACACAGCTGGCCTTGTGGTTGACATGTGTGTAAAGTTTGAAGGTTGTACCTAATTGTCCCATAAATTCCATTGCGAACATACACATACTTTGTTCTTACACAGCTGGCCTTGTGGTTGACATGTGTGTAAAGTTTGAAGGTTGTACCTAATTGTCCCATGAATTCCATTGCGAACATAAATATACTTTTTTCTTACACATCTGGCCTTGTGGTTGACATGTGTGTAAAGTTTGAAGGTTGTACCTAACTGTCCCATGAATTCCATTGCGAACATACACGTACTTATTTCTTACACATCTGGCCTTGTGGTTGACATGTGTGTAAAGTTTGAAGGTTGTACCTAATTGTCCCATAAATTCCATTGCGAACATACACATACTTTT